CAACATCCATTCATCACAAAAACTCTCAACAAACTAGGATTAGAAAAATCAGAGCTTAGACTGGGAAAGAACCTCAGAGTAACTGGAAGGTAGTAGTACTTTGAGATTAGTAACAATGTCTCAACCAAATTTAAAAATTGTTTCTTCCCATCTTAAAGTTAAAAAAGTAATATTAAAAGATTCAATAATATTTAAATGCCAAAAATCTTAAGGAAGTAGATAAGTTTTAAAGAATCGGGACAATTTTAAAAAGTCATCGTGAAATGAAATTCGTGAAATTCATTGACCCTTAGTAGTTTTTCAAAAGGCATCAAAGGATGCCAATAAAAAACACTTAGGTATTTATTTATTTATTCTGTGGCCCTATATATTTCTCTACTTTTTGCATTCACACAACTTAGTAGAAAACCTGGTAACCGCACCATCACTTAGCAGAGAACAGAATGGCTAGACTATAGCGAAAGAGCTCAATCTCACTGGATTTATTCCTAAACACCTCTATATGCCTCAGCCCCCTCATCTGCCACCCACATTCAATCTCCTCCCATCAATTATCCCTCAATATCCTCCACTATCCATAAGGCCACAGTGCCTAGCAGATACAGGCGACAAGTGACAGGGTCTTTATATAACACACCCAAATGGCCTTGGCCCCATTTGGGCACACCCAAGTCTATTTCTTTGTTTGCAAGGGCACTCAATCCAGAAACTGCCCACCAGGAGATCTTAAGACCGTGTTTTTTAGACCTGCCATCCCAGCTCTCCAAGTTCCTTCCCTAACTCACCTTGTGAACTCTATTTTCAGCATTTTTCTATGTGGGAGGAGGATCCTCTGCTCCCACTCCTTGCCAAACAATCTCAAGACTTCAGGAAAATGAAAATGAAAAGTACCACCTCTCCCTCCCCAAAATTTCAAAGCCATTACCACTTCTGCCTTAGAGAAGTTCTGCCACAATGGGAGGTGCTACACTTGTCAACTTAGAAAATAATGATTAGTCTTGATCAGGAGAAAGCAAACAGCACTGCTCTTTCTTCATGCATTTATCATTTATGTACTGTCTATGGCTGCTTTAGTACTATAATGGCAGAGTTGAGTAACTGCGATAGCAACTATATGGCCCACAAAGCCTAAAATACTTACTTATCCAGCCCTTTACAGAAAATGTTTGCTACCCCTAGTCTTGACAATCAGGAAAAAGAAGTCATCAATGATGCTATTGGGGAGCTATTTCAAGCTACAACTAGAAGTTTCGAACAAGAATAAACAATGATAACATGTCCACCAAAGTACCCCAAAATACGGAGTCAGTTTGCACCTCGGTTCCGATGAATGTAGGACGAATATATAGACTAGCAGATGTTGAATATGGGACCCATTCTTGGTCCAATTTCACAAGCTGTTGAATACACTCTAAAAGCTCTTCCTTGTCAAATACCTGAAAGAATAAAAAACATAATAAATGATGGAATTTTCTCCCAATGTAGTAATAAGAAGTGATTTTTATTGAAGCTTTTAGACTATTAAAAAAGTAATAAAGGCCGGGCTCAGCGGCTCATGCCTGTAATCCTAGCACTCTGGGAGGCCAAGGCAGGAGGATCGTTTGAGCTCAGGAGTTTGAGACCAGCCTGAGTAACAGCAAGAGCCCGTCTCTACTAAAAATAGAAAGAAATTGGCTGGACAACTAAAAATATATAGAAAAATTAGCCGGGCATGGTGGTGC